CACTGGGGGGGCTGCGCGGAGCGGGGACACGGGGAACTGGTTTCCGTGGTCGCGTCTTGGCGGGAGGTCGCGGGGGAGGGGGCGCAGCCTCCGGGGCGCCCCCGGGGACCTGTCCTTCGCGGCGCCCCGCCCCCCAGTGCGGCCCGCAGGGAGGGACCGGCCGCCCGGCCCGGCTGCCCCGGAGGCACCGCGACCCGGCGCTGCCGGCGGCCCCGCCTCCCTGTCCTGTGCCAGCAGGACTTGGAGCCAGATCGCCTAGGTCCTGGGTTCCCTCCGATGGGGGGAGGGGGGGGCACCTGGGTAGACGGCGTGAGCTGAGGGAGCTGTTCCCTTCTGGCCTTGGAGGAACTAGGATGGTGGCACAGATGGAGAGCTGCTCCCCTTGGGACCAGTCAAGGAATTGAGGTCACACCAGTGGCCCCTCTTTCTGTTTGAGCTGCATTGGGAGGTGGTGTAGGGACAGCTCTGTAGCTGAGCATGGCAAGACTGGGGGGCACATCACAGTCCTCCAGTGGAGCCCCTGCGTGACCCCCCCCCCCCCCAAATACAGGCCAGTGGCTGGCAGACTTGCACTTGGTGTGCTGGTTTAAAAGGCGACAGTGAGAACTTGATTGCAGGGGCTGCTGCCTCTTAGTTTGCATTCCCGACAGATTTCTGTAGAAGACACTGGGGTGGCTCTCAAGGAAGGCTCCCCAGCAAGGGGGGCTGGATTGCTTGGAAATGTGGAGCCAGCGGGGAGATGGGGAACATAGGAAATACTCTCGTCCATGTGATCTGAGGGAGGTGGCAAGGAAAACCTCCATCTGTGTGGGCTTTCCCCTCCTGACTTCTCTTTTCTGTTCCCTGGGCTTTCTTGAGAGCCTCAGAGCTGGGGAAGAAAAAAGGAACGTTAGCATGTTAAAATTCCTTCTCAGCAACCTGGGGAGAGGCTGGGGATGGAAGTCCACAGAGGAGAGGAAATAGAGGAGTTTTTCTTTTGTTTCTGGGCTGACTGAGGAAGATGGTAACATTTGTCATCATAACCTTTTACTCTCCCCCTCCCCCCAGTCCTGGTCAGCTGAGTGTGGAAATAGAGGGATTCCTGCCGCTATTGTGGTCCATGGGCTTTCAAGGTATCTGCCTCCCAAGGGAACCTCAACTTTCACCTTTAAATTGGTTTCCTCCATTCTATGTGCCAAGCAATCCCATTCCCAGTAGCTTACATCCCCAGGTTCCCATCTTTGTTATGTGGGTTGTTGGGTTGGGCATGTGGGAATGGGGCAAGGGGCTTCTCACTTTCCCTCCTCTTCCTGTCCACCCACCAGGTCACACCACCTACAAGTAGGGAGCAGGGACAGAGAAAGAGCCTGCATGCCATTTCTAAGGTCTTCAGGATCAAAGTGAGCAAAAAGGAGGGTCAAAATTCTCTCTCCCTTTTACAAAAGCCAGTTTTCGCTCAGAGGGGGGAGGGGCAGATTGTTTCTATGATCTTGGGAGGAGTGGAAAGAGAACCAAGACTGATGCTTGGTTTAGATGAGAATAATAATGTTGTAGAAACTTTCTTGCTCTTCAGTGGGTGCTGGGGATTTGAAAGAGAAGAGGAGACAGAAAATGAACTTGGGGGAGGAGTTAGTTGGGTGTTGGGCTTTGAGAAAGCAGAGATAATACAAGGTTGGAAAGGAACCTGAAGTAGGAGGCACTGATGTTTGTCAAATGGGGGACCCCCCCACCCTGAGTCCCTTTCACCCTGGGGGCAGTGTCGTTCGTCCTCTCCAGAATGGCAGCCTGTGGAGGCACCTGCAAGACCAAAGTCACGGTCTCCAAGCCTGTGTGGGACTTCTTAAGCAAGGAGACACCAGCCCGGCTGGCCCGGCTTCGGGAAGAGCATCGTGTGTCCATCCTCATAGATGGCGAGACTTCTGACATCTATGTTCTCCAGCTTTCCCCACAGGGCCCCCCGCCCGCCCCTCCCAATGGGCTCTACCTGGCCAGGAAGGCTCTTAAGGGGCTGCTAAAAGAGGCAGAGAAAGAGCTGAAGAAAGCTCAGAGGCAGGGAGAGCTTATGGGCTGCCTGGCTTTGGGCGGTGGGGGGGAACATCCTGAGCTGCACCGCCCAGGCCCACCCCCTCTCCGAGCAGCCCCACTCTTGCCCCCAGGGGCACGGGGGCTTCCTCCTCCTCCTCCCCCCCTGCCCCCTCCTCTTCCTCCCCGCCTTCGGGAGGAAGCAGAAGAGCAGGAGAGTACCTGCCCCATCTGTCTGGGGGAGATCCAGAACGCCAAGACATTGGAGAAGTGTCGGCACTCTTTCTGTGAAGGCTGCATCACCCGGGCCCTGCAGGTGAAAAAGGCCTGTCCCATGTGTGGCCGCTTCTATGGGCAGCTGGTAGGCAACCAGCCCCAGAATGGACGGATGCTGGTCTCTAAGGATGCCACACTCCTACTGCCCAGTTATGAGAAGTATGGCACCATCGTCATCCAGTATGTCTTCCCGCCCGGTGTCCAGGGGGTAAGGAGACTACCACCTGCCTTTACCCTTTGTTTCCCTCCCTCCCCCAGCTCCTTCTCTGATCTAGGAAAGCTAGGCGAGGGTGAGTGTGTTTTTGAGATGTGATACAGTTTTGCTGTTTCCACTGTATGCCTTTTGCTATATGCCTTCCCACTCAATGCCCTGGAGCTAGGAGGTCCCATGAGGCCCAGCTTTTCCATCCCCACAACCCATGGCACACATGAAAATCAGGTATCAGAGAAAGGAATTAAATACTATTTCCAATTCTGTAAAGATGATGGCTCAGGTGCAGGCAGGCACAGCAGGAAGGGATCTAACCTTTTTCTCGGAGCTGGGAGTGTTACTCCATTCCAGACTCATGGGAGAGGAAAACCTTGATGACAGTAGGTTAAAATGGGAGTGGTCAAGAGCCTACAGGTGACTTCCTGCTTGACAAAGAGTAATTTCCAGTTCTGCTTTGCAGAGGGATGAGGAAGCTCTGAAGAAGAATAGAAAAATGGAATAGGTTAGATAGTGGAAAAAGCATTGGGAGTGTTTTCAGGTAGAGAAGGGAAGGCTGAAAGATAAATTAGCCTGTCTTCACATTTCTGCTGAGTTATCCAGAGAGTAAGGACCAGCTACCTTCCATCACTTCTGGTACTCCATTTGTTGCTGAATTGAGACTTGAAAGATTGAGACCAGGAGAAAGAGCCTCTTAACAATAAGGACTTTGTCCAGGAATAGGCTCCTGCTGCCCAGACCCTAGAGCAGTGATGGCAAACCGATGACACGTGTGTCAGAGGTGAAACGCAAACTCATTGGTTGATTTTTCTTGGTTAAATGGCATTTAAATATATAAAATAAATATAAAAAATATAAATCTTTGTTTTACTATGGTTGCAAATATCAAAACATTTCTATATGTGACATGGCACCAAAGTTAGGGTTTTTCAAAATGCTGACATGCCGAGCTCAAAAGGTTCGCCATCACTGCCCTAGAGTCTCTCCTTGCCTGAAAGGCTGTCAGCCTGTCGCTGCCCTGTCAGCCTTAGCTGGGTGTGCACAGACAAAAGGCTGGCCAGGATGAACCTCCATTGGAGTGATGGTCTTAAGACGTCCAGCTACTCACTGCCCACTTTGCTTCCCCCTCCTCCCAGGCTGAACACCCAAACCCAGGAGTTCGGTATCCTGGCACCACTCGGGTGGCCTACCTCCCGGACTGCCCCGAGGGTAACAAGGTGCTGACCCTGTTCCGAAAGGCGTTTGACCAGCGTCTCACCTTCACTATTGGCACGTCAATGACTACAGGGAGACCGAATGTCATCACCTGGAACGACATCCACCACAAGACCAGCTGCACAGGGGGACCCCAGCTGTGGGACACTTCTTCATTTCCCTTTACTTGGCTCCTCCCCTTTGTTTCCACGGAGAGAACAACAATCCCCTCTCTCTGGGAGCCTCCTGATTGGAGTGGGCCAGCCCCAAACTATTCAACCATCTCTTCCATCCCAGTTTCTCCTACATTTAACCTGGTCCTGATATGCCCAGTTTAACCTGCAAAAATAAGCAGAATTGGGCTAATTTATCTTGGATTTGGATTACATTAGGGGAGGGAGCAGAGGGTCCACAATGGGGCACCCAGAATGAGTGTGAGCATGGGGACAAAGCTGAACAGCTAACCCTGACCCTCATTTTTCTTTGCTTTCAGGTTTGGGTACCCAGACCCCACCTACTTGACCCGGGTGCAAGAGGAGCTGAGAGCCAAGGGTATCACAGATGATTGAAAGACATCCCCTTTGCCAAGGCCCCGGCCTTTGTCCTCCACTAGGACCCAACAGAAGCCTCTGTTCTCCTCTCTCCCTCTGCTCCCCCATACCACACAGTAGGGGACCTGTCTGAACTGGGGAGGAGTTCAGAGAGGGATGGGGCAATCCCTTCCTCTGTCCCCACAGGCCAAGTGCTTCAGTGCAGTGTGAGCTGCTCCCTTCTGGCAGAGGCTGTTTCTCAGGCTCTGCTCCCCTCTGGTGTACATACTCCCAGTCTTCCTGCCCCGTCCATTGCCCTTGGCTTTTTCTGGTCTTTCTGTGCTCCAGCGACTAAGCTGAGAAAGGACCTGGGTGGGGTGGGGTGGGGAGGGGAGGGGTCTTGAACGCCCACTCCCATCCCATACTGTTCCACTAATGAACTTCGGTGCAGGGGAGGGGGGATCAGCTGCTGTGAGCCCCCATGGAGCGGCCCTGTATGTTCTTAACCAATTCCCCATCTACCTTAACCTTGTCCTTTCCTGTGTCTCTGTTTCTGTCAGTCTGTCTCCTGCTCTTCTCTGCCCCCTATAAGGAGCCTCCTTACCCTGTTCTGGAACTGCCGCCAAACTGTAGCTTTTAATTTAATAAAAATAAAGTAAAATATGCAACTCTATGCCACACCCGTTCTGTTCTGTGGACTGGTGGGGGTGGGGTGGGGAGCGGGACCTGCTGAGAAGGGGATGGGGGTGGATGAGGAAATCCCT